AAAGATTAGAGTTTCATTGCTAAGGTTAAAATAAGAAATGATGTTTTTTATATTATTGCTTTATTATTTCTAATGGATATTAGTAGAATTCCAAGATTATATCTTATCAGTCTATGTAAGCTTTAATAGAATTACATGTTTATATCTACTTAACATTAAAGTAATATGGTTTTAAAAAAAAAAGACTAACTCAATATGATTAACTCTGAAGAAGTTGCGAGCAATTACAATTGGACCATAACTATCAAACATAACATTAATATTGCTCCCAAAAAAATAGATTGCAAGCATATGACAAATGATAATTTAAGTGATCACGAATCATCGAATCCTATCTACATAGAGAGGGTCATATTCGTAAGAGAAAATATAATTAAAATTGGTATTATTTCTTGACAAAGCCATCATGTCAAATTGTTCATCCTTTCAATTGTCATATGAAGTAACTTTGTTAGCTTGATTATCCTGTAATAATAAAGAGAGTTTCAAAAGAAAATATAGCTCAATGTAGCAATTCAATATCAGAACAGTTTCCTAAAGTATTTTAATTGTTGTGAGATATGTACTTCCTGGCATAGAAATGAGACGAAAAAGAACACAAGCAAACACAGATCATTTACGTGGTTCGATCCAACTGGATCTACGTCCACGGAAGGGAATCAATCAAATAGTTTACTAAGGCAAAAGAAATGGAGAATACAAAGCTTATACATGAGGATGAGCCCTCATCTTCCTTCTATGGCCTCCCTCTCAAGCGACACCTTGATACAAGGCCTCAAGATGCTCTCCTCCTCTCTAACTCTATAGCTATTCTCTCCTCCTTTGTGGTAGCTTAAGATCTCTTCTCCCTTGCTCTCCTAAGCCTCCCACCCTCTCTATTTATAGAAGTAAGAGAGTGGTAGGTGGGAGGTAGGTGAGCGGTAGGTGAACGATAGGTGAGATGTGGTAGTTGAGCGATACCACATTACAAAAGTACCCTTTTACCTTAGTTCATTAATTGGGGGTCAAAATAACAATTCTCCACCTTGGCCTTCAATAGAGAAGCTTCGAAATAAAGATTCCCTCCACCTGGCCCCTGAGGGGCCCTCAGCCCTTGCTTGAGTCTGCTAAGTCCAAATAGTAAATGGACTTAGCAATCACGGTTCTTCCGATAAGAGAGTACAACCCTTTTCTCCTGACTCCTTGTATGACGACACAAGGGCCTTTGGTTACTCTGATGCAGCCATTCTCTGCCTTGAACGAGCATCCGCTTGACTCCAACGTACCTAAAGAAATTAGATTTCTTTTGAGCTCTGGTACGTACCTGACATTTTCAGTACTCGTTCAACTCCATCAAACATCCTTATCCTGATTGATCCACTTCCAACAACCCTGTGAGCTTTATTGTCTCCCAGTAGAACAGACCCATCATTTGCCTGTTGAGGTAGTCATCAGAGGCTACGCTTGCTTCTCCTGATTCTTCTAGCTCTTCTTGATACTTATTTTTCCTGTCTGGGCAGTTCCTCTTGAAATGACCGTCTTTGTGACAATGATAGCACTTGAAAGATCCCCTTGATGACTGATTCCCGCCATCCTTGCTTAACCTTGATCTGTACTGATCATTTCTTGAATCTTTCTTGTCTGATCTTCTTCTGACAATAAGACTGTCTCCGCTGACTTCCTTGTCCCCGTCATGCTTCCTCTGAAGTTCTTTAGCTCTAACAAGAGATTGAACCTCCTCCAGAGTAATAGTCTGCACCCTTCCATAGAGCATCGCATCCTTGAAATGCTCGTAGCTCTTAGGAATAGAGTTTAGCAACAGCAGTGCTTTGTCCTCATCGTCCATCTTGACGTCGATGTTCTCGAGGTCGTCGATGATCTTGTTGAACTCGTCGATCTGCTCTGAGACGGATTTGTCTTCATGCATTTTGAAGGAGTATAGACGCTGCTTCA